ATAATTGTATTTTTTAATACATCTGAATGCACCAAACTTTTGGAAAGATTCTCTCTGTGAAGCACAATAGGATGAACATTGTCACATCATTGTAAGCTGATAGAGACTCTGCCAGGATTTCAAAAGCTAAATTGGAAACAGATGTCTGCCCACACAAAGAAAATGATCTTATTAGTAAATGTTTCTTCTCATGATGACAAAAGTGAGACTTCATCCAAAGAAAAGAGAAATTGTGCATAGCAGAAGATGGACTCTAGATTTCATTAGCAGAAGTGAAGGGAGCAGTTTTAGTCATTTAATTAAGAATTGTTGTATTATGGATGTTTTGAACAATTTGATGGAAGTATGGCAATCCACTCCCTCTTAGAATTACAATGTAAATCCTCTATATTTTCTTGCTAATTTGGGGGCATATTTGTTTTTCTTTCTAGGAGATTGATGGAAACTATTTTAAGATTACATAGTGATTGGAAATTCTGAAAGTAATGTATTTTTTTTCTTTATACAAAATGACAAGCAATGTTCTTAAGCAAAAATAATGTGCTCCCACAGTTAACAGTCTCAGCTGTTGATATCTTGCTTAGATGTGTTTAGAAAAGCTTTGAGGGATAATACAAATTCACTTTTATTTAGCCACAGCTTTGCTTCAAAAATTGTGTCCCCCATCGAAATCAAATTCAGTTTTAATAGCAGTAATTTTCATAATGGGAAATTCTGTAGCACTTTTCACAAGTGGACCCCAAAGTGCTTGGTAAGGATGAGTAGAGGATTGTTTACTGCATTTTACTGTTTTTGGTTGGGGCATATTGTTATGACTTTGAAACAGAAAAGTCTGTTCACAGATGGTGCATATACAGTATTTCTTTTCAAGTAACAATAATGATCTTAAAGAATTTCAAGTGTTTATTCCCTAATGTAAAGGGAAAAGCCCTTTAAACCTTAAAAAGGTTTAGGGTCCAACCTTAAAAGCCTTTATGTAAGTGTGAATCCTCGGATGAACTAAGTGGAAAGTTGTCCTTGACTCATGTCACTTAGAACACAGGAGCCCTACCAAGGGGCTGTCAAGGTAGATATTGAGGTCAAGGGGATTTTTGACATTGACATGGAAAGTCTTGACAAAGAGTCCCAGCATTCCCAAACCCTTGATGTGATTCTCCTGCTTTCAACACCCTGTGTTTTTTAAGTCTTACAGGCTTGTTTAGCTAAATCCAGATATTCTTCTCCATTAACTGAAAAGGAAGTAGCTGCTGAAGAGCCTGAAACTCTTAACTCAAATGGTACCCTTTTTTTTTTTTTTTTTTTTTTTTTTCCTCCCTGTTGCTGCCCTTTGTGTTGATCAGTAAAAGCAAGCTGGCTTGGAGAATCGAGTAGCACCCCTCACAGAGGCTGTAGGAGTGGCTGCTGCTGCTGCCGCCTCTTACTCTGTACTCCTGGGAGCTGGTGCACAGCTATGAATTCCTACTGTGATCCCACAAGCGATAATTAATAAAACAATATCTAAACCTTTTCAATGTAGAACAGCAATATCAGAACAAGAAAATATCAACACCAGAAAATTCTAGACTTAAATGTCTCCTGAGTGTGTCTTGACTTACTGGTGAAGGTTTGCATTTCAATGTATATTGTAGGCAAATGAATGTTGATTAAATATTTTAATATATTGAATTTCAGGACATCTGGGATAAACAATGGAGCATCTTGAGGAAAAAATTAGGCAGAAAAGGGAAGAAAGGGAAGATTAATTGGACAAGAAATTAAATTAACATTTAAATTAAAGAATTAAAGCAGCTAAAGAATTAAAGTAGCAACAGGTCTTTGCAATTTGGCAGGTTCCAATTTTATGATATGTCCCCAGTTTTTGTAGTGTATAGCTGATGTATTGTTGGAGAGAAGGACAAAAAATGAAGACACTGTGCATTTCCACATACTAAGTCTAGTGGCATAGATTAGCAACGGAATACATTCACTGCATTGAATTCAATTACATACACAAGAAACAATATTGTTGGTAGAAACATTACTACTTTGTTCTAAAACTTACAAAATGAACTGCAGCACCACTGCATGCTTGTTACTTATCTGTCAAAAAAAAAAAAAAAAAAAAAAGAGGTAATTTTGACTGAGACATTATTCAAAGTGTAGCTAAATGTGCCTCAGGAGAACATGCTTTAACAGCAGGAATATAATCAGTCTCACTGGGTATTTTCACATCCAGTTTCTTCCTAAAACTAACCAGCAGTATTGCACAATGTGTCAGGAAGGAAGGGTTGTCAAATAAACAGCCAAGAACACAAAACCAAATGTGCACATGGGCACCCTGGAACATGGAGTTAAATTTTATTAATTGGCTGTCTAGTAGCTGGAAAAAGCTTTAGGTCAGGAAATGTTTAGCCAAAATTCTGTGTTCTGCCTTTTTTTTGTTTGTTTGTTTAATGTTTGAGCATCAAAGCATCACTACAGCTTATCTTTTGGCAGGTTTTTTGTTTGTTTTGTTTATTTGTTTGTTTTGAAATGAGTTGTTTAAGGTGAGGTAAAATAATACTGACGTGAATTGCCATGTTGGCTGCAACTGCTTCATGTGCTCAGGAGGATAAGCAGAAACAAGACTGACTTTTCTCAGGTCAAGAGGGGAGAAAAGGTGAGGACAAACCACTTGCAACAACCTGCAGAGAGCAAACGAGGAGACCGATGGGAAGCATGACTGCTGAAGGGGCTGTTGCTTGAGGCTGACTGCAAGTCTCTGCTCCCTCAGTACATCAGCATTCCCCTAGAAAACAACTAATCACACCTGAACAGCCCCAAACCAATATCTAGAGGGGGGCTAAGAAACGAAGTCTATGTGGAAGAGCTAATGCTCTTGTTAGTAAAGGAATAATTTTCACCCAGGTGATCCAGCAATAGGCTGCTTACTAAACCAGCTTCATTCCCTCCTACCCCTGGCACGATCTTCCCACTTAGCACAGTATCTAAAGCAGTTTTGGAGGTTTCTTTTTTTTTTTTTTCCTTTTTCTTTTTTTTTTTTTTTTTTTGATGAGTTCTGCAGGTTTTTGATGAGCTTAAGAACTTGTCATATCTCCAAGATTCCTTTCTACCCTCCCTGTTTTAGTCATCTTGTCTACTGTTCCCTTCATGAAAATCTGATCCAAAATGATATGAGAAGGGAGTTTCCAACCCAGATAAAATTACTTTTTATTGAACAATAACTTTCACTCATCCATTATGTCATATGTACCACTAGCACAAATGATTCTCTTGATTCTACTTTCTACATCTTGGAGAAATGAATTTCTCCAAATTGAATGAAACTTTGACAGGCCATCCATTTTTATAGATGGCATTTTTAAAGTGAAAACAGAAGCTGCAAGCAATCATTTAACTCATGTATATATTTGTGCACCATGAAGACGAGGGTGGTTTAGCCATCACAGCATCTCACATCTTGTAGGCTGAAAGATGAAAAAGTCAGATAACATAACATTCTATTGTACAAGCAAGCATATTCATCTCCTTAGTTTAGAATAAAAATAATTTTAGATTTTAGAGTCCCTTTTGGCTTCCAGCACAGGCTGTCAAGGAATGTCAGAATTGGCATAGCAGAATGAAATACTCTGAATGGAAACAAATATATTCTTCCATTCTGATAAGATCAACTATTTGTAGTCAATACAATATTTTTCATAAACATGTAAGATATGACCATTGTAGGCTGTGTGGACAGCTTCTTATTGTGCTCTAAATCTGTATTGACCTTAATTTTGCAGTGTAAGAGTCTACACATCAGCTGTGGGATCAGTTTGGTTGTAGAATATTCAAAGACATCTCAAATAGCACTAGAAATCCATATTTAGAGAGCTGCACTGAGCCAAGTGGAGTCTTCAGACTTATTCATCTGACTAAATCTATCTGCTTTTGGATGAGCTGAATAACTCTCTAGACTCCACTGACTGAATTAGCTGGATTCCCATTGACTATGAGAAGCTTAGACACCCTCTTCTCTTTTGAAGACATACACTACAAACAGCTAAATCATGTATCTGGACCTGGTATTAAACCTAGAGCTAAATTCTATTTTTCTGCTGAGCTGAATTAGTTCTGAGAAGGGTCTGGACTCTTTAAAATCAATCAATCAATCAATGAAAATGGTGTTTTAGTAGACAAGGCTTGTGAGGAAAGACTCGATGGAATTGTTCAGTCTGAAAAAGTCCAAAATGCACAATAATGGTCTTATAATATACATATATGTATATATATACTATTTTTGTAGAAAGAATAGTTATAAATTATTCCTCATGTACACTAAGAGTAAAGGGAAGAATTTCAGTAAAGGGAAATTTAGTTTGGGTCTTAAAAGAGGAATTTCTAGTCATAAGGATGGTGAAGTGCTGATGTACACAGCCTGGGGCAGTTGTAGAATTGCAGTCTCTTGTGTTTTTAAAGAATAGGTTAGACAAACATTTCCAGGAATTATATTGGTGTAATTGAATGTGCCTGGGGGCCACAAGCTCTGCCAGGTGAGCTTTACATCTCTTCAAGCACTGTTTTCTCCAGTTAATTTCCTCTAGTTTTTAATCTCAAACTGCTCACTACTCAACAGGATACATCAATAAAATATCCGCTTTAATTTTAACTATACTTCTTTTAAGGTGAAGAAGCAGTACATATGCAAGGCCAGGCAGCAATAACTAAAACACCAAGTCACTGATGAGGTACTGAAAGAAATACCTTGAAGAATATTTATCTTAATGGAAAGGGAAATACAGCTGTAATAAGCAACTAAAAGCTTCCAGTCACAAGCTTTATTTATTTAAAATAATACTTTTTTTTTTTTTTCTTTTTTTTTTTTTTTTTTCCTCCTAACGAGGAGAAACACTTCTAGCAGCGTGGAGTGTGATTCAAAGTAGAGGAGCACACTACTGGTCTTATTTTACATTCACTACTATCTCAATGATTCTTCTCCTTCCCAAGTATCAACAACACTTGTCTTTGCTCTGTTGTTTCAGGGCATTATTGCTGAAAGCTCCTATGGATGGCACTGTGGCAATTAACTGGAGCAAGGATGTCATAATCTCTTGTACCAAACCACCAGAAAACTAAAGCAAAGAGTGAGTCTTTGACAGGCACAAAGTCACATTATCACTGCCTGTAGCTGTCTAAGGAGGGAGGGATGTTGTCACAGATGTTTGCTTTACTTTCAAAGCAAGGATTGATATAAAATTTTAAATACAAAGTTTCCTGCTATGTCTTTCTTTCACCATAACTGTAAAGACATTTAGAGTTGAGATTGGGCTCTGGATTGTATTTTGCCTTTGGTGGAAATTAGCACAAAATTCAAATGGTTAAAATGCTAAATACACTATCTTTACTGGAATGTCTGCTCTGGTCTCTTCACAGCTCCAGTGAGCCTAGAGATGGGAACGCTAAACTGAAGTGACTTTGGAAAGTGGTTATTCTGGAAAAGATGTCAACTGCCAAAATAGACAAGAGAACAGGAGCTCTTGACTGACCTCCCTCTTTAGGGCACCAATTCCCTTTCACAACCACTACAGTTTTAGTTACTTAAAATACATTTAAAAACAAACAAACAAAACAAACAAACAACAACAACAAAAAACAACGCATCTTTATGACCAATATTTTAAGTCAAGGTGGTTTGTGCTCTCATTGCGGCTCATGGTGACAGAATTAATTGCTTTGTTTAACACAGGCTTCTTTTAGGAGCTGGTAAGAGAAAATGGAACATTTCCAACTCTGAACATAAGCTGTTGCTGTGTTATGGGAAGGAGGAGTGGGCAGAGCTGAAAGAAGAGACATTGATATTAGCTGGGAGAAAAAGGGAGAGGGCAGCAGATGAGAAAGTCATTAAGACCACAAACAATAAGTGACTGGAAAGTGAAACAGCAGTGCCGGGAGCTACTAGGCAATTACCTATCAACCTCTAGGTGAGGGTTTACACCTTCAGTTTCTTGAGATAATCTCATGTGCAGCCAGTGAGAGGATATTGAACCCCATGATCTCAGGGGAAAGCTGTGTCATGAGGAGCCAGGGGCCTTCTTGGCAGTATGAAGGGACTGGAGCAGGGGGCTGCATTGCTGATTCAGTCATGAACACTTGCACTGCCTTGGGCAGATATAGCTGGGGGGGGAGGGAAGGGGGGGGGGAAGGCAACAGCAGTCTAATTGTTAGTGACCCAAACTGTAAGAAAGACAGCAATGTCAGCAATTAGTATCTCCACCTCCTGTGCTTTGTGCTTCTAAGGAGTGTCACCAGGAGGATAAATCTAAACTCTCCTTTAGAAGCAAGCGTGGCTGGACTCTCTGGGTGCTCCAGCCCACCAGGCTCTGGCTGAGGGAGCTCCATCACATGGAGCAAACAACTGCAGTAAGGATGTAACACTGAATCTCCAAATCATTTTGGCAGCTGGGCATCAGTGCCAAGCTAGAGGAGAGTTTCAGTTTCCAAGCCAGGTTTCTATTATTTGGCTGGCAGCTGCATCCTTGAGTCAAAATGGACTGCTAGCACTGCTGGCAGCAGAGAGACCACCAGGGCAGGGCTGAATGGTTTGGGCTAGTGAATGGTAAGAAAGGAGTCTGTAGTGGTTTCAGTTCATTATAAACAAAATTAGCACATATTTCTTTGCTTGTGCTAGTACATTATCTACTTACTTAAAAAAAAAAAAAAAAATCATCTAAAAGTAACTATTTGTGATTCTATATTCCTTACTTGAAAATATAGATGATGCTAGAGTTAAGCAGAAGTAGTAAAATAATACAGATGTATAGAAACAGATGACTACAAATAAGGCACAATGTGTATATATATACATATTATTTATTTTCTCCAAATCTTGAATCTGGAGCTGCCATCTCTTCTTGGGAAATGGTCTGTGTGAACCCACAAGAGGAAATAAAATGTATCAGTAATGTAACTGTCTCAGTTGTCATTTCATTCAAACACTCTGCAGGAGAGGGTGGTATCCAGTAAGCAGAAATCACTTCAAGTTCACAGCAGAGACATAAATGTGACATAGCTAGTGAATTTACTAGCGTTATTAGGGACATTCCCAGAAGTCCACACATCCATGTAACACTGGGCTATTTCGGAGATGTGAGTGTTATTAAGTAATGGGTTGTTTATAGGCGTTTAAACTCTCCAGTTCATAGACAGCCCTTCTGCAGAAAACATCTGTAACTACAAATATCAAGGAAAATATGGGAAATTGTTCCTTTATGGGCCTGTCACAAGAACTGGCTGTGTTTTGCAGAGGAGCTCATACAACAATGTGCTTATTAGTTACTGCTGGCTATTATATTACACAAAAGCCAACGTTATGTAAGGTTTGGTCAGAGCGCAGGTGCTGGCAGGAGCAGGCTCTGGCAGGCTCCCTTCCTGTGCAAACACTGCACAACAGGGAGCCCAGCTGCATCTGTTATTTAAGTTTGACTGATCAGTACCATGTAACACTAGTCCCCTGGTATGTGGCTTGCTTTGGCTAGCTCTTTCTGGAGAGCCTCTAAGTTTTTATTTGCCAAGCTGGGCCACTTCCAACATGGACAGTAGTTGCAAGGGATTATCTGTAGCACTGGTTTAGGGTAGGGGTTACCATGCTGGCCAACACCTGCCTCCATGGCAATAGGACCATTGTGCTCCTTGTGCTCCTATACTTCCCTGCCATAGTGTTGGCTGATCTGGAGCCGGTCTCTGTAGATTTGTGCAATGTTGATGACTGCTCGCAACAGCAATAGCAACACCTCCGAAATATGCCTGTTTTGTCCTCACTCTCCCCATGATGGTCTCTCCATCCCAATCATAGCAACCATAGATGGTATCCAGTGGCATACATCAGCCAGTCTTCTGATCATGCTTGGATGGGTTTAAAAACTGATTTGGAGAGATGTTCTTTCCTTTTGTGATTTTCTGTGAATTTCTGTCTTTTTCACCTACCCAAGTGGGGCCTGGAGCTGCCACAAAAGACCTTTCATTTTAGGAGAGCAGCTAACTCAGTGGAGTGATTCCTTTGTAGATGATTGCCATGCAAAGACTGTCAAACTGCGGGAGAAGGTCTGAATGCACCTTCTTATTCCTCACCTATTTCTGCACTCACCAGCAATGATTCATCTCACCTAACTTAAGCCATCTAGGATTTAGTCATCTAGGTGTAAACTAGATATCTAGGCTCCTTCTACAGTCAGTGGACAGACACAGGCACTTTGCAGTGGTGATTCATCCCACCCAAGGTAGATGTCTAAAGTAGGTGTAACTGAGTCATCTGGAAATGCCTCTTACTTCATTAACCATAGACAGAGACTAAGTAATTAGCAGCAGAATGCCTATATGGGGATGGAGTGGGGGAAGAAATCATATAACACTTAAATCCACCAGTAACAACAGTTAAAAATTCACCTAAACTTCAGAGGATCCTTTTCAGTCTTTCAAAACTCATAATGATACTGAAGTCCTGCGTTCACTTTTGGGTACCAAAGCTTTTGGGTACCAAAGTAAGATGAACCTCAATTCAAGATAATACCAGAAAGGCCAATAAAAAGGGTCAGTCCCTATGGGGTTTATAGGTTGATTCCTATGGGGAAAATGAAAGCTGTGGAAGACGTAAGTCTGTATGTACTTGTTTTACTATATTAATAAAAAGACAAATTTTTCAGAATACTTCCAGTCATGTCAGGGCTTCATCAGAAAACTGAAAAGAATTGCTCTTTAGTGTTTTTTGTTTGATTGTTTGTTTGTTTGTTTGTTTGTTTGTTTTTACTATTTTATTTCAGACTAGGTAATTTAGAGAGATTAATAATTCCCTCTAGGTCTCACTGAGCTCCTGCTGCGTGTCCATTCCAACATTTATTTATGAGCCATAAGAAACCTGGCAAGACAACTAACCAAGTAATTGTGCAGGAACGTGACTGTATTTTATATGTTATTTGAACACATATGTAGTATACAGAGAAATTAGAACTTACTTGCCCTGTTTTTATGCTGTTCCTTCTCCTGTTCCTGATTCTTGCCTCAATCAGGTAAATTAGTCAGGGCTATTTTGTGCCTAGATTTGCAGATATAAGGAATTTGCAGAAAGGACATAATGATAGCGAGGAAAGCTTAATCTAGTAAGAACACTGCACTCCATAGCATTTTGTGACTTATAGCAATGAATTGAATAGTTTCAGGGTGAAAGATTATTGTTAAGTAGGTAAAAGATCTACAATTCACCCAAAGTGTGGATTACCAAATCCATTTTGATTTACTCTTAGAATGAACCCATGAATAAATTGGCTGGACAGTACTTCATTTACTTCCAGAATTTATTTCTGGAGAGTATAAAATTAAAAGTGTTGCATCTGCCTCACTATAATTGGTGTAATTTATTTGATTTTCTTGGAGTTTGCTGAAGTATTTTTCACCAACTTAAGTCACAACCAGATACTAGTCTGTTGTAAGAAATTAAATCATGAGCATGGAAATAACTTTGATATCAGTTAGCAAAAGTGACAAGTCCCGTGGAACTGTGTAGGTGATATCAATTTCTCTGGTATTGTTGTCATCGCTGCAATGGGCTAAGGGCATCAGCAAGACAAGGTTTCTATGTAAAGGTAATATTTGATTTATTTTTTTGCTGATTTGTCACTTTGAAATGTTGCATGGTTTATTGAGATCAGTGTTATAAGCTCTTTCCATGCTCATGGAATATATCCAGTGAGACAAAAACAGTCAGTTTTTAAAGACTCAAAACCAGACTTCTAAAAATTCTTGGATTTAAAACCTTGAATCCATGAGCTAATTAAAAAAACAAAAACAAACAAACAAACAAACAAAAACACAAGTGGAGGCAAAAGACAGATAAATTAACAGTTGCATATTCTGGTGTTTACAGAAGTCAAGCTGGATGTAAGAACTCATTTTGTTAAATTCCTGCATCTGATGATTACTTAATATATCAATTACACTGAGTATTTAATATTTATGATTAATAGTTACAGGTTATAGGAATCAATCCACCCAAATTTGCTATAGGTTATAGGAATCAATCCACCCAACTCTGCAAGATACTACAGAATATGGTCCCATTTGGACCAAATCTGCCTTAAATAAAATATCCCACCTTGACCTGAGGAGGGGTAGAGAATCCACTGCAGCTCTTGGCAAATAGCTTGGTTAATCAGATAGCTACTCAATGAATCAAATGCACTCTATTTTAAATTTGAATTTGTCTGAATTCAAATTCCAAATATTGGATTTTATTATACATTTCCCTTATATTTATATTAACCAAAAACCCTTCTGCAAAAGTATTTTACATCATATTGATTCAAACTTAAATGAAGTTACAGGCTTATTTTCTAAACATCAAACAGATAGAGTACCCAGAATTTTTCACTAAAAAAGTATAGAAAGCACTTTTTTTTTTTTTTCCCTAGCTCTCCTTTGAACACAGATTTAAATGGCCTTCTTCCAACATACTTACCAGAACCAAATCCATTATTTTCTCAGCATGTTTTCACCAATAAAAGGCACAGAGATAAGGTAACAAATCTCCTGTGTTCTGACTTGAGTTGTTTTTTCTTTTTTTTTTTTTCTTTTAAGCTTTCATAGTTTATGTTAGTCCCTTCTCTAAAAAACATGAACCCATAATTCCCAGCTCCCAGGAAAACACCCTAAATATCTTCAATGGTATACAGTTTCTTCTAGGGCTACTGGGAGGGAAAGTAGGGAGTATGAGGTACACTTACCTTGTATTTGTTTCACTTTGCCTGCACAGTTTAACTGGTAAAAGGGACAGTAGTAGGGCCCTGACCCTAAGATCTATGTGTACAAAACATTCTATGATAGTTGTAAAATGAATTAGTGACCAGAGTCCAAATCTCATCCCTTCCAGGTATGGCGCTCTGAACACTGCACTTACAGATTCATAGCTCTTAGCTACTGGGAAGTGGATGCATTTCACTCTATGCTGCTACTGTATAAATCACTTAAATCACTTTGGTGTGATTTATACACCAAACCTTTCAAAAGAAAGATTGTTTATTTATATTGATTTTTGTATGTGTGTGTCTGTGCAAATACCAAAACTAGTGAAGTGGAAAACAAAGGTGGATATAAGTCTGGGAAATTACACCAAGACCAAGA